CCATGTATCCATGCAGCCATGTATCCATGCAGCCATGCATACATGCAGCCATGTATCCATGCATACATGCAGCAATGCATACATGCATCTATGCAGGCATGTATCCATGCAGCCATGCATCCATGCAGCCATGTATCCATGCAGCCATGTATCCATGTATCCATGCAGCCATGCATACATGCAGCCATGTATCCATGCATACTTGCAGCAATGCATACATGCATCTATGCAGGCATGCGTCCATGCAACCATGCAGGCATGCAGCCAAAACAAACAAACTAAAGACGTCATCAAATAAAATAAGTCTGCTGAGATTCTATTTTCTTTTTCTTCTTGTCAACAAACCTTAGGCACCAGTGAATGTATCTACTAACAAGTATATGTGTGCATCACCACACCATTTATTTTACTCTTTGAACCCTCTGCTTTATATCTTACTCCCTTTATATCTCCTGCTGGACTCGGCAACAGTTTAATATCCAACAGGCTAAATGTATAAAAGTAGACTGTATCAGGTTATTTGCTAGGATCTGTATCCAGATATTAAAGAAGATTATTTTCCAGGTACAATTTACCAACCTTAACCTTGAATTTCACTCAAGAACTGCATGTGCGCAGGTTTGATTGTTGTTGTTGTGGTTTAAGTGGAGTATTGTCAGCAGCATGTAAATGTGACTGTCTCTCTCATTTCCAGTCGTACATCCTTCTCCAATGCCGGCATCGTGGAAGTGCACCCATTGTCCCATGAGATCTCTGCTGACTGCCAACAGGCTGCTTCAGCCACCACAGAGCTGCTCTGAAGGGGGAGAGGAAGACTGTGGAGCGGCAGTGAAATCCAATGTTTAAAGTGTGGGGGGGGCCTAAAGACAAGAGGAGCTCGTTTAGGTGGAGTTGATAAGGTCGACTGGTTTTGAGAAAAGGCAGACGTTGAGGGTAAAGTTTATGGTTTACTATCAGAGTGAGATGTTTTTGTAAATTGTTATAATTCTGTTTCTATGTCGATATTTAGAATTTCCTCTGACTCTTCTTCTGACTTTCTATATTAGTTTGAGGTAGATTAAAGTTGCTCTGTTTTATAATCCAGAGAATAACTGTGTAAACAGTCAACTTTAGGAAAACCTTAACTAATGCATGAGACCTGACCTGAGCAAACAAGTCGTATATGAATAAGCATAAAGCTTCAGCATGGTTAACACCTTAGATTGAGTATATCACTGTTTGTGTTTTATTACTGTAACGTAGTAGCCTATCTTTACTTAAACGCTGCCCTCTTTCCTCGATGACTCTTTATGCTGTTATCATACTTACTAGGAAGCAGTTGTTGTTCTGCCGTGCTGATGGTGGCGATGGCGTTCTGTACGGTGCTGCACCAATGAGCTCAAGATATAAAAACATCCGGTGAATAAAGCATGGTGAACATGGCTCAAAAGAAGAGTTTTAGTGTTACTTGTATTTAACTTATTTTCATGTTCATACATGCATTTTGTTTTCTACCAGAACATAAGAAACATGACGTTCCACCACATAATGTGTTAAATGACTTGTCGGACCGCTGATACAATACCAATGGAATGACAGTTAGGATCCTGTTTTGTGGACTCACACATTTTAATATGCTTGTGAATATGCAACGGTCAGAGCTAGTGACAGTGAGGACGTGCCATATTTATGCTGTGACATGTTTGACAGATTGTGACACTGAGCTATAAACCGTGAGAAAGACTTCTTCCGGTGGGAGGGGAGGTCTCTGGTGGGAGGGGAGGTCTCTGGGTCAAACAAACAGGACTTTCAACCATGAGACCAGTTTGTGTCCACAAAGCTGTTGAGTTATCGGGAAGTTATATTTGTGACGTTTTTCCTTAACCATGGTTCAGTTACCTACAACTTCATTTACATGATTCTTCTAACGTGATGTTTCTCTAACTACTAAGCGTAACCTCGGTAAGTGGTTTGTTGCCTCAACCTTTGCCGACGTATTTCATTTAAGGCTAACTGTGAAGTTTCCCTTATTAACCTAATTCAGTGCTTTTGTTGCCTAAACGTTAAATTGTTTCCGTGGTGCCGACACGTCATTTATACACATTACATGCCGCCACCACATAAGGTGCTGCTAATGGAGCAGTGTGTCGGACATTGAGGCATGTAATGGTGAGGTAGCAGATTGCATCACACTGATGCACCCCTCCACCCCTCCACTCATCCCTCCCTCC